GTGTAGTAAGACTACTAACTATAGAAAGTGCAGCTTTGAAAAGTCTCAGGTGCCTGAGTGGGGGGACTGGATCAATGAAAAAGCAGGAGGCATGGGTTAGGAGTTAAGAGTGGACTGGAGATCAGCACCTAGTAAACTGGGAGACACAGCGGAAGGCTTAGTAGACATAAGTGGGCTTGGGTCCTGGCTCTGCCCCTTGCTGGCTGTGTTAACCATGGATGGGCAGGTTAGTCAACCTCCCCATGCCTATTTCTTCATCTGTAAAATGAGGATGAGAATAGAAGCTGTCTCATAAAAGTACTGTAAGGATTAAATGAAGGGATCCGTGCAAAGCCTTTAGGACTGTGCCCGCCATTGGGTAGGCAATGGATAAATAACAGCTCTTACTAGCTCCCCTAAGTGTCCAAGACTCACCTAATGCTCCGAGCAGAGGGCCACCACTGCCACCACACCCTTTCCCCTCCAAGATTTAGCTGAATTTCCAGTTTGGGGGGAAATACCTCTTCTTCCTCTCCTCAGAAGCTTACTGCCTCCATCCTGGTGAGCTTAGGCCATGATGATCAGCCCCCCAGACCACCCCAGGAGGGCCCAGGGACTCCCTAAAAAGGAGAGGGCACACAGAGCAAGGCCACCCCAGTTCTCCAGGCAAAGAGAAAGGAGGAGAGATGGGGTGAGGAAGGATGGCTGTGAAGGGTTGTGGCATGGGTGGGTGGAAGGCGCTCCTGGGGTGGGAATTCCAGAGCTAAGAAAGCTTTGAGAAATGACCAGAGCCTGAGGTAAGCCTGTAGCTTAGGAGGGAAGAAAAGTGCAGATTTGGGGAAAGAAAGGAAAATGTGAATAGATTTGGCAAGAGATGAGTCCAGAATGAAACCTCCCCCCCCTCCGCCCCATCCCCCCAACCCTGGCATCACAGCCAAGCTGCAACAAATGGGAGGTAAGAGTCAGAAATGAGAGGCCAAGTGCCTCCACTGTGGGCCTGCCGGGCGAATCTGACAGGTAGTTCAGGGATGGAGAGGAGAGCCATCTCATGGCTATGAAGCTTAAAACTCCCAGTACAGTGCCGCGGTGGTGGGAGTTGCAAGTGGGCAGTCCGCCGAGTGTTTATTACATGTGAATTCCATTTTTTAAAAATTTCATGGTTTGATAGAAGAAAAATGTGACAAATCCTAGACCTGTTGTGCCTGTGGTTTCTGAATGTTCTTCCTGCTGGTGTCAGGTTTAAGGGGAAAAAATAACCAAGGGGGAAAAAAGTGAGCAGGATTCCAGTTCTTTTTTTGCTCACTGGGGAACTTACACGCTTTCCAAACACAGGAGGAGAGGAGCCACCTGGGTTCCTTCCCAGCTGAGTCTGGGTTGGCCCCAGAAGAATTAGACTCACTCTACCCAAACGGATGCCTTTAGTTCCAATATTTTTCCGAGAAATATACAGTCTTGTGGGGGCTCCTTAGGGAGCTGCTCTAGTTCCAAGAAAACCTCTAAGGCTGGACCCTGACATCGAATAATCAGCATAGAATCAATGGAGGGCAGGGCTCCTTTCCTGTCTCCCCCCACCACGTGCCAGGCACAGAGCAGATGACAGTTTGAGTGATTCTGCCTTTGAAATGAACAAATGAATGCTAAACTTCCCAGTGCGAAAGAAGGGTTATCTGTAGATTAAAAGAGACTTAAAGAGATATCGATGCCATGTGTGGACCTTGTTTGGATTTTTTTTTAAAGATCTTATTTATTTGACAGAGAGAGAGAGAGAGAGAGATCATGAGAGAGAGAGGCAGGCAGAGAGACAGGGGGAAGCAGGCTCCTCACTGAGCAGAGAGCCCGATGTGGGGCTTGATCCCAGGACCCTGAGATCGTGACCTGAGCCAAAGGCAGAGGCTTAACCCATTGAGCCATCCAGGTGCCCCCCTTGTTTGGATTTTTATTCAGACATAGGAAAGGAGACAACAGTTGCAGAAGTTGACCACTGATGAGATATCTGATCATTTTATTTGCCTTGTACCGGGTTTTACAAAACTTTTAATGTTGTCATCATTTTTACCATAAGAGATTTTATATTAAAATCCAGATTTCCAGCTTATTTTGAAAAACGGGAAGATCTGGCTACAAATTGGCCCAACTCCCCACTCAGTTCCCATGGGCCGGGATGAAGGAGTGATTGCTCTCTCTTGGTCTTCAGGTCCAGAAATAAGTGCCAATTCTTCATGAAGGCTTCTCTGAACACCCTAACCAGAAGTGATTTTTCGTCCCTCTGAGCTCTCAGAACACATTTTTATTACTCACCCAGCTCCTAGCAAACATTGCCCATATTTGTTTTTTTGTAAACCTTTTAGTACCCCTCCTCTGCCCACCCTTCCTACCCCCCAATGCCTGGACTGGATTAAGGCCTTTAAAGGCTCTAAATGCTGAAAAGATCATGGAGGGTGCTTCCCTGTATGTACTTTCAAATCAAATTTTATTTTATTCAAAGTGGTGGTATTTGTAAGTCAGCTGAAGCCACACTTTCTAGATTAAAAAAAAAAAAATCTCCATTTGGAAAAATTTCAAACCCACAGAAGAGTTGAAAGAAGAGTAAAACAAACATCTATATAATCCTCTAGTTTTACCGATTTTTAACATTTTGTGATATTTGCTGTTTTTTCCCTCTGAACTGCTTGACAGTAAGTTTCAGGCATTAAAATGCTTTGCCCCTAAACTCTTCAGCTTTTATTTCTTAAGAGAAAGGACATTTCCACAGTAGCATTCTCCTGCCAAAGAAATTTGACCTTAATGCAATATTATCTAATACATGGTTCATATTCAAATTTTCCCCATTGCTACAATAATCAATGCTCTTTAAAGCTATTTTTAAAATCTAGTTTCTTTTTTTTTTAAATTTTATTTATTAGAGAGAGAGAGTGCACAAGCAGGGGGAGTGGCAAGCAGAAGGAGAGGGAGAAGTAGGCTCCTGACAGAGCAGGGAGCCTGACACGGGGCTGGATCCCAGAACCCTGGGATCATGACCTGAGCTGAAGGTAGACGCTTAATCAACTGAGCCTCCCAGGTGTCCTTTAATCTAGTTTCTAATAAAGGACCATGCTTCGTACTTGGTCGCTTTAGTCTCCTGTGATCCAAAACACTCTCCAGTGTTTGTTTTTAATCTTTGATGATGATAACATTTTGAAGCATCCAGGCCAGTTGTTTCATAGAATATGTCACAGTCTGGATTTGTCTGAAATTTCCTCATTATTAGATAGGTTCAGCATCTCACAATGGATTCAACATCTTGAGCATTTTTGCAAGAAACCATAAAGGTGGGGTGCCTGGGTAGCTCAATCAGTTTAAGTGTCTATCTTCGGCTCAGATCATGATCCCAGGGTCCTGGGATCGAGCTCTGAGTCAGTCCGGGTCGGGCTCCCCGTTCTGCTGAGAGCCTGCTTCTCCCTCTCCCTCTGCTGCTCCCCCTGCTTGTGTGCTCAACCTCCCTCTCCCTCAAGTAAATAAATAAAACCTTAAAAAAAAAGAAAGAAAGAAACCATAAAGGTGATGTTGCATTTTTCTAGATTGTCCATTTGTGGAGTTCCAGATAAATCATCAAAGCTGAATTTATGTGTCTCTGCTTTGCTGGTGTCTTAATCACATGCGTGTCATATTAACAATCATGGCTACCATCATGTGCATCATGGAAAACCTTGCTTTCTGGGTACACACAGGAGCAGGATTTCGGATACTTTATAATGCCAAACTTCCTCTTCCCCACTCCCACTCTACCCCTGACTCCCATAGCAGCCCCCACTCTCCTACCTCCACCCCCTGTATTTTTTTTCCTCCATCCCCAGTAGTAATCTACAGCCTCCCCAACACTTATTGTTCACTCTTTAAATTTGCTAAATCTGTAGGTATAACATGATATCTTCTGGGTTTTGTTTGTATTCTCTCGGACTGCTGAAGAGTGTGAGCATCTTTTCTCATGTTTCTTCATCATTTGTGATTTTTCTCTTGTGGGAGGCCTGTTTATGCCTTTTGCTCACTTCTTGGTGGTTTTTTTCCTTATGTATTTTTAGATCTTTATGCATTCTGGATGCTAATCATTTATGAACTATATATGAATCTCCAGCTTTTATGAAACAGTATTGCTTAAGGCTAAGCACATGGAGGAGGCTACTGGTCAGACATTTTGGGTTCAAATTCCAGTTCTGATAGTAACTGTGTGACTGTGAATAATTTAACTTCTCTCTGCTTTAGTTTCCTTATCTACGAGATGGGAGTGATAATGGTGCCGACTTTGTCAGGTAGTAGGGGGATTAAATGAATGAATATAGGTAACGCAGTTAGAACAGGGCCTGGCATATAGTAAGAGTCAATAAATGTTTGCTGTTATTAGCTCCTTCCCTTTTACAGCTCCCTGAAATTTTGAGATATAGAGGGCTCATCAAAGTGCGTGTCCCACAAGCCCTCTCCTTCACTTAAAGATCCACAAACACCGTAGAGATAATTCATGCAACTTTGAGACCTAACAGTGCCATGATTTATTTTGCAACAATTTAAAGAAAGGCTCTACTCTTGATTGGGCCCCTAGTGCCTCCCAGGAACATCTCTATCCCCTAACCTGCCTCTGGGCCTCTTGTCCCTCACTTAGGCCTTTCTGTAGTGTTTCAAAGACCAGCAAACTCCGGATACAAGCGAACCCAGGAGGCGCTCATTATAATGCTCCTTAAAGGAACGAACGAACAAATGAAGAAAGGAAGGAATGTTACTGCGTTGCTATGTAGACGGGATGAAAGGGAAAAAGGAATGTTGGACGGCCAAGCCGGCTGATGATTGGCTAGCCCCCCGCACACGGATGCGAGAACATGGAACGTAGGAGAGGGTTTCTTTGGACCAGAGGTCCCTGCCTAGCGGGTCAGGACGTGGTGTGTAGTGAGCAGCGCTGCAGGGTTTGCGGGTCTCAGGCGGGCGCGGCGGCTCTGCGGGCCCCGCCCCGCCCCGCCCCCCGGCGCCGCGGCCGAAGCGGGCCAGACGGCGGCGCCGGAGCCTGCGCACTGGACCCCCAGCGCCGCCAGCGGTTTCAGACGCGGCGGCTCGGAAGATGGCGGAGCGCGCCGGCGGCGGCACCTCCCTGAGGGGGATGCGCGAACGCATGGGTGAGCGGCCTGGCGTCTCCCGGGGGAACTCGGAACCGCGCGGGAGGCGGGTGTCTCGTGGCCCCGGGGGCCGTTGAAGCGGCGCGGAGGGCGCCAGAAAACTTTACTCCGGAGTGGCCTCGCGCCGTCCGGTCCTCCGCTCACCCGCCCCGGAGTTTCCCTGGACGGGACAGAGAACCGCTGTGGGACGGGGGTGAGGAGGAGGAACGGCCGGGCGGCCGGCATCACCGACGGCCGAAGTCCCACGGCCAACGGCCCAACGGTCGCCGCCACCGGCCGAACCCCGCGGGCGGGGCGTGAGGGAACTAACGGATACTGTGGGCGCAGGGGTGGGGGTGGAGGGGCCTGTGACCCCGGACCCTGAGGACGGTCTTGAGCTGCGCCTGCCGTTGGGGGGCGGCGGGCGTCCGCGGGGCCATCGAACGGACGCGCCACAGCCGGGGATGTGCGGGCGCCCGCCAAGCCCCCGCGCGCCGGGGCAGCCTTTCCAGGCGCCGGGAGCCGGGAGTTTTCCCTCTGCGCGGGGCGCTCGCATCCTCTCCCACGGTCGCAGTCCTTGCCTCTCCCAAGGACTTAATCTACCGCACCCTCCCGGTCAACGTCCGGTGAGGAGGGAGCCTTGGGGGCTGTTCCTTTGGAAGTTGGGAGAAACTTGCGTCTCCGCTCCTCCTGATTTGCGTGCTGTAGCACATGACTTCGTCAAGATGTCACCTTCCGTGGGACATCTTGCAGACCCTAGGCGGCAATGAACGGGAAGCAGCACTTCAGTGTGCTTTCTTCTGAACTGGCCCCAACGCCAAAATGTTTGTCGCCCCCAAATCGTTAATTTTCTAAAATTTGGCAGCGCGTTGCTTAGCCCAGGAGACTGCTCCGCTCGCGGAGCGAAATGGTATTTCTCGCTTGTGGGAGGTTACTTGGTTTTCTCAGGCCAGTTGCTATCACTGTGAACTTGAGAATAAAACGATCTTAATTGATTTTATCGAAAGCCTTGGGGATTTTTTCATTTGCAGTTGAAAAATTGGCTGCGATTGAGAGGCTTTGTGTTACTTCAGAATACTTTGAATCCACTCCCCAAACAACGTATCAGAAGCAAATACACTTTCGTCTTTACCCAGAGAGAGAGTGCAGTAACTTCGGATTGTTTCATTACTTGTCGACACCTAAGGCTCTCTGCCATTTGTTTATTTCAGTGATTTAAAGTAACCAGCATTCTGGATAACCCCCTTCCCAGGCATTTTTGGATATTGAATGTTGTGAAGTATTTTAAAATCTTTTATGAAACGGTTGCTTGGATTCACAGTATTTCAAGCCAAAAACTTAGTCATGCAAAAAGGGCTTAACCCAGAACCCTAATTGACCTCCTTGCTGCCCATTTCCTATTAGGAATTGAAAACATCACATGTTATATGTTAGAATTTTCACAGACTACAGGCTTTAACAAGATTTGCCCTCATGGTCTCAGCGTTTTCCTGAAGGGGACAAGGAGTCATTGAAATGTTTTTCCACTTTGTGGCAAATGAAATGCCACTGTGACAGTTGCTTCTTTTTATTCTGTTATCCAAGTAACCATGAGTAGCCCTGAATCTGTTAATCTGGTCAATTTCATTTACTGCTGGGAGCCTGGCTCCAAGAGTTAAAACGTTGTCCCTGAACAAGTGACTTCTAAGGGGGCATGAATTATGTACATTCATTTTATTATGTTTTCTGTGCATAGCACTGTGCTAAGATTGTAACATACTGAAGAAATACACTTTTTAAAAATTTTTATTTACCTGAAAGAGATAGGGGTCAGGAGCATGGGGGTGGGGAGTGGGCAGGGGCGGGGCAGAGAGAGGGGGAGAAACCGACTTTCCTGAGAGCATGACCTGAGTGGAAGGCAGAAGTTTAACCCACTGAACCATCCAGGCATCCCTAAATACACTTCTTTTAACAGAACGTGTTTTATACTTTTACACATAACTGTAAGATAATTTATATGAATTTTTCAACCTGATGAGCATAAGAAGCTTTGCCACTGATCTGTCACCTTGTTTTTCTAAATTCATAAGTAATTTCTTTAGACAAATGCAGAAAAAGCTACTAAGGTTGAGTGAGATGATTATAGAATTTTAGAGCTGGAGAAACCTTAAGATTCTCAAGTCTAACACCCAGAGTCCCAGCTATAAAATCCTGGGCAGCTTCTACAACTTGGATGTATAGTCTAACAGCTTAATATTTTTTCCAAGTAGCCATTCCACTGTAGGCAGCTCTGACTGGTAGGAAACTGTAATTTACTTTAAGACATGCTATCTTTGAGGAATTTTTTGTTTTGTCTTGTTTATTTTTTAGTAATCTCTACCCACTTTGGGGCTCAAACACAAGACCCAGAGTTACTACCTGCATGATCTGGGACAATAATATTTAGCTTCAGTTTTTCCTACCTGTAAAAAATATGGAAAATAATAATATCCACTTTATAGGGTTGTTAGAATTTAATGAAGTCATACAAATGTAAAGAATTTTGTAAATGGTGAGGTTGATATACAGTATTTGTTATAGTAATTTTTAGGAGAGTACCATAAATACAGATTAAGGTTCTTCAGTTCTGGTAATAAACTCTACCCCTTTTATTAACCTCCAGGCAAAAGGTGACTCTTTTCTTTAAGATTTTATTTGAGAGAGAGAGAGAGAACATGACTAGGGCTGGGGTGGACAGAGGCAGAGGTAGAGAGGAAGAGGGAGAAGCAGACTCGGCTGCTGAGCAGGGAGCCAGATGCAGGGCTCAGGGCTGGATCCCAGGACCCTGAGATCATGACCTGAGCCGAAGGTCACCGAGGTGCTCTGCAAAAGGTAACTTTTAGCTTTAGTTTGGGATTCAGAATTAGTATAGGAACTGCAGAAATACTGTAGTATACTTAAACTGTTCCTTACTGTAGCTTTAAAATGAATGGTAAGTGAATTCTCTCATTAATGGAGTTGAATAAAATATTCTGTTAAGACATAAAGCCTTTCTCCCATTGCCTGGACATTTTAAATAACTTCTAGAGTCTGTCCATTTGGTGAATATATTTCTTGCCAATGGGAATTTGGATATGCAGTTCTAAAAATCAGACTTGATATTATTACCACATTAACCTCTAAATTATTTAGTTCATTATTCCAACCACAGCTAATTTTGAGGTTACTGCTGTTTAATAAGATCTTTAAATATGGTAAAATTATACATTTCAAGAGAAATTGTCCTTATGGTCAGGTAATTTGTGCCAAAATATGAACTTTCTTTGGGATTTCTAATCAGGAAATGGAATGTGCAAAACCAACTTTTTTTCTGTGCTCACATAGAGATGCTACAAGCGGGAGAGAGTATATAAGAGGGTTCAATTAATTTATAGACTATATTTAAGAATTGTTCTAATACACTAGTATGCAAATTCAGAGGATAATCTGTGGTCCACAGAATTGCTGGTAGTTGAACTATGAAGGAAGCTGAGAAGAGTCTAATCTTCAAATTTAGCTAAATCATGGATTATCTGAGCTGTTATGTCTCTGTCGTTAAAAAAAAAAAATCCTTTTTCCTTTTTGAAATAGTGGTCCCTATGGCAGCAATTATGAGATCACTTTCAAGGTTACTCTGTGAAATGACTCCCAGATCTTTTTCCTCAGTGACAAGAAACATCTCAGAGTCCTTTCATTCTTTAAGGACAATGACAGCTACTCTGTTCCTTTAATTATTTTAACCGCCCATCTTCAACTGTAAAATTTTTTCCTGGTATATAGAAAACAAAATTGTATGCAATATCACAGGGGCATATTTCCTGTGCATTCACAGAGGTATAAGGAGAGTTTTCAGTGTTAATCTCCAGATTCTTCCTGAAGATGCCCAGCATTGTGGGACATTTTAGATGCAGCCATAAATGGAATTCAGGGGCTCCACAATCCCCTATAATAATTGCTGTGTGTGTCATCCAGGCATTTGTTTTTCTTACTTTCCCTCAAATTGTGCTCCCCTAATCTTGTATTTCACCCTTATTGAAGTTTATTTACCACTTTTGGGCGCATTTTACAAGGCATGTGTAAATTTATCTTTGTTTGCCGGACATTTTTCTACCTGGAATAATACTATCTCAGCGGGAATTCCTTGAGTGCTTCTCCACCTTCACTGCATTAGAATAGAGCTTTTAGCAACTGGAAGTGCCTGGGCCTCCACCCAGACAGAGACTGGGGGTGGGGAAAGGCAGGCATTGCTGGTATCTTTAAAGCAGCGTGGGTAAAGAAAACCCCACATCTAGGTAATTTATAAATGTACTTTTTAATATTGGGTCCAATCTCTGAGGATCTCACTGTTGACACTTCTGCTTCCAAATTCAGATCTGTAAACTCCATGTCTTTTCTAAATTCTCAATTTATGGTGAAACAGTTTCCATTTCTGTGCCAGCTCAGTGTTTCCAGTACTTGGTGTGATATCTTGTCTGAGGCATTTTTGAAAGTTATTAATCATTAGCTCCTACTTATCCACAAGCTCGTGCTGCCACTCCCACTAACAAGCTCTAAGTCCTCAGATAGACTGGCACACCCACAGTCAACAGCCTTAATTCTTTTGTAAACTGTTGTTGAACATCCTAGGTACTTAATATGTCTTTGTTGTTGACCTGGATTAATCTGTCCTGATTTTGTTTTCTAGACGAGAGATGCTGTCCTGTATCATCAAGGATGATTGCCCAGGCTTTGCATCCCCTATATTAGCTGTTTGTATTAATAGTATCTAATCCTTTCCTTTTCTCTCCCTGTATTCTAGTTGCGGCTGCTCACGCCATAGCTGAAGAAAGACGGAATCAAAGTAGTTTCAGCACTCATCCATCTCAATCTGCAAATATAAGATCAGCTTTCAAACCAGGTGTAATTTCTAGAATGCTTTTTTATAGATGTCAGAGTGTCACGTCAGTAAAACCAGATCTATTAATGCCTTACTATATTTTCTTTTTTGTTTTTAGTAATCGATGGATCCGTGCTTAAAAATGATGTGAAGCAGAGGTTGGCAAAGGAGCGAAGAGAGGAGACCAAAAGACAACAAGAAGGTATATTTTAGACTTAAAATCGGAATGAATAAATTTTCTTTTGAGGTTATATATTTTCAAAGTGATTTTATCTACTTTTCCTGATCTGTTTATATATAGATTACATTTTTTCTGGGATGTATTATGTTGGATTGAATAATTATACTAAGGCAGATAAAGAAGACCTTAAAAAATAGTTGATTGTTTAATTTTTGAAGTAGTTTCTGTTAGCTCTAATTTTCTGAAAACTAAGGTGTCAAAATTTCAGTATTTGTAAAAACAAGCAGAATGGGCTTTCAATAAAAATGACTCTAAAAAGGAAAATGAAGTTGTTAATAATCCTAACATAGGCTTCTCAAGTGTAAATTTGGACCTAAAAGAATAATCTTTTTACACCTCAAGAGAATGCCTTTTTCAACGCATTTTTCTCTGGCCTTTGAAATCCCTTGACAAAACTTGTGCTCAGCTTCATTCAAATGGATATAATTTTTCTTTGTTTTGGTGAGGAGTTATTTCTTTCTGGAGCTCTTCAGGAGAGTATTTTAGAACTGCATAGATGCTCTCCAGGCTTTAGTGAGGGAAAATTTGAAATAGGAAAACATCATGCTGTTCCATAGTGTGGTGTCTTAACTCCATGAATGTAAAACGGGCATGATTAAATATGGTCTGGATAGATGAGGCCCTTGAAAGAAGTTTCCTAGTAGAAGAAAAAAAAAACCCTTCTGGCCATGTGTTCTCTTTTTAATTCTTATTTTAATGTATATAGCATGTTAATCTGGTGGGGTTTAATTTTGCCTCAAATCAGCGGAAATATCACATGAAAGAAAATACTTGGTTTTAATTCAGAATTTTAGCTTGGACAGGATATGAGGGTCATCTATGCAATCTCTGTTCTCTAGAATTAAATGAACACTCAGTGCAAATGATTCTTGTTCACTTATATAATCGTTTGTTATTGGCATAGGTCATGTTATTTTTAAGAAAGAGGAGGAGATATATTAACTTTCTCCTTCTTTGTGAGTACTGTAGAAAACTTAAATATTTTCTTGGCTCTTATGCCTCGAAAATGTATTTGGAATATTTCAGCTACTAAGGAAACACAACTGCTTGAAAAAGAAAGAAAATCACGGATCCAATATGAAAAACAGATGGAGGAGAAACAACGGAAACTGAAAGAACAAAAAGAGAAGGATGAGCAGCGGAGAATATCTGCAGAAGAAAAAAGGAAACAAAAATTACAGGAAGAAAGGGTACAGTATATGTTTCCTGGTCTGTTCATCAGATGCCATGTGGTGTCACCTGGCACTGGAATACTTTTTTCTTAGCCTTTCACTGCCTTTCCTGCCCCCTCCTGCCAAGGGATCCAGTCCCAGTTCTCTCTCCCCTTCAGCGGTAGTGCCTCTTGTTCTGTGCTCTCAGATCCCTGAGTTTCGACCTGCTATCTGAGATAAAGCGGAGCTTCGCAGGCCTGGGAAGAGAGCCCTTCCATGCTCTGGGATGCGGCTCACTTGTGTCTCTGCGCTCTGTGCCTGTGGTCTCATGCTCATAGACCCATCAATAGGGCGCGATCTCATTTCTCACAGCTGCTTCTCTGACTTGAGCGCAGGCCAGTCTGATGACAGCGCTTGCTCTCCCGTCTGGCTTCCACTGCCTTTCTGCCCTGTGCACTCTTCCTCCCAGCTGTGCTGGGGCCTTGCCTCTCTCTCTACCTTCCTGGACTCTTGGTGTCTGGCACTCTAGGCTCATGTCGGGCTCCCTGCTTCTCCTTCTCCCTCTGCCTGCTCCTCCCCTTGCTTGTGCACATTCTTTCTCTCAGATTAATTAATTGATTAATTTCCTCATGATACAAGCAGAGGTAAGCACAGTCTGTTTCTCAGTTCATATCCGTAAGATTAAAGCCTGTTACTCAGGAGAAGCATTGACATTGATTGATACCAGAAATATGGTCTTCGGTTGTTTTTTTGGTCTTCATTTTTAACTATTACCTACCTCATACCCCCCCCAAATTTTGCTTGATAGAAAAATTTGGTAATGGGTTAGAGTTCTAACCCACAGATCTAAATTACACTATCCAGTATGTTGAATATGTAAAAATTTGTTGGCATTTATTTGAAATAGGAGAGATTCAAGGCTGTTCTCTGTCGGACATTGGAACGGAGCAACCGTGTTGATCATCGTCAAAAAAGATGGTCATGGGAAGGCTCTACAGCTGTGAACCCAGAAACCAAAACCGGTAATTAATAAACTGTTAAACTTTAAGTTATTAATGCTCTTATTTAGATATTGGCTATTGCTGCAAGGTTGCATTTACAGTAGGGTTTTGAGCTTTGTGTTTTAAGTGAAAATGCTGCCATGTACTCTTTGGTGTGCCCAGTAAGTTTATGTTTAAATTTGTATCATGTAAGATTGCAAAAGAAATTTTTTTTTAAGATTTTATTTATTTATTTGACAGACAGAGATCACAAGTAGGCAGAGAGCAGGCAGAGAGAGAGGAGGAAGCAGGGAGCCTGATGTGGGGCTCAATCCCAGGACCCTGGGATCATGACCTGAGCTGAAGGCAGAGGCTTTAACCTACTGAGCCACCCAGGCACCCTTGCAAAAGAAATTTTAATATTTTATCCAGTATATCCAAAATCTTACCATTTAAATTTGTAATCTCTGTAAAAATGATTGAATTTTATATAGCTTTATCCAATGCATATTTTTTCCAGTGCACGTTTTAAAAAATAAAGTCCCATTTACTATTGCAGCTACTATAAATTTTCCTATAAATGGACAGAGCTCTACAGTTTCATAAAACTTAAATTTATATCGCGTGTAAGGAATGACAGTAAACATTGTGCACCTAATTAGTGCACATACTCTATAGAACTACATCATGAACTTACTTTGTTTCAGCTAGTGATGCTTTAAGTATGAGTACAGTAAATATATCTTTCCTCAGCCAGTAAACGTTCTGTATCGACTGAGAAACTTGAACAAGAGACATCTGGTTTACAGAAACAAATGTCTGTGTCATCTGCAGGTCTTCAGAGTTCTGTTGCCAAGAGTAAGTAGTTATTTCATGTATTCTGCTGAATTTTAAACCAATGAAATAAATTCTTTTTAATGTCTTTTCACAGTACCACTTATCCTTTAGATTGTGGAACATTTAGATTTATTTCAGAAGAGCACCACCTGGTTTCGTTTTTGGTGGAGGTGGTCATTACTGTTTCGTATTTTCATCAGTGTTAGTCCTTGTTTCATGATTCGTATGTGCATCATCACAGGTGCTTGTTGAGTTCAGGTAGCCCAAACTGAAACACATTTTATTGCCATTGCCTGGCCCAGTAACTTGGTATAAAACGGATTCATATTCTACCTAACCAGTAAATGAGATCCTTTTTCCTAGAGAGTAGCTAGACTGGTCATTCAGTTTCTGTTAAGTTTCATGAATATCACCTCATTTAAGGAAAATGTTAGCATATATACAGCAGTGGACAGGTTGATCTGCTTCACATATGTCGTACTTGTTACTCATGACAACCTTGTAAAGGTGACAGGCAAGTGTAATTACCTTCCTGGCTTTATAGTTAAGACCCCAAGAAATTCAGTGCTCTTCAGTCTGTCATGCTTGTTTTTGGCTTGTATTTTGGTCATTTGATAGATAGATCGTGATGTTGAAATTGTACATTTGAATAATCCTGTGTTTTCCTCCAAAGCAAATAACATGGTACCCATGTTTAATGAGCAAAGCATTGCTAACCTCCCCTTTACAACTCTTTGTAGTACTAATGTGGTGTTCTTTAAACAAAAAAGAAATTATCTACTATGACTACCTCAATACCTTTGTTTTTGTTTTTAAAGATTTTACTTATTTGACAGAGATCACAAGTAGGCAGAGAGGCAGGCAGAGAGGTGGCGGGGAGCAGACTACCTGCTTAGCAGAGAGCCCGATGGGGCTCGATCCTAGGATCCTAAGATTATGACCTGAGCGGAAGGCAGAGGCTTTAACCCACTGAGCCACCCAGGTGCCCCAACCTCAATACCTTTTGCTTCTAGTGTTTGTCCTTTCAATTAGTGTTCCTTTTTTAAAAAAAATCCTTCACCTGGGGCACCTGGGTGGCTCAGTCGTTAAGTGTCTGCCTTCCGCTCGGGGTCATGATCCCAAAGTCCTGGGATTGAACCCCATGTCAGGGCTCCCTGCTCAGTGGGGAGCCTACTTCTCCCTCTCCAGCTCTTCTGTGCTTTTGTTCCCTCTTTCACTATTTCTCTCTGTAATAAATAAATAAAACCTTAAAAAAAATCCTTCACGTGACTGTCAGTGACCATTTCTGGCTTACTGTGCATGGTGTTTCCCACTGATAATTGAAATGGATTAGGCAAACCATACCCATCAATCAATTTAAAAAAATCATTTCCGGAGGCAAAAACAGAAGTGATCTTAGCAGGAAGAAGACACAGCAAACATATTCCACATCATTCCCACTTCAGTGCCTTATGAATTGAAGGAAAAAAAGGCATAATTATGGTTTCAATTTAAAAATCTTTTTAAAAAACATTTTATTTATTTGAGAGCAAGTGAGAGAGTGATAGAGCACAAGCGGTAAGTGAGGCAAAGGGAGAGGGAGACACAGATTCCCCTCTGAGCAGGGAACCCCTGATCTGGGGTTATCACATTTTTTCTTTTAATGGTCTAACAAAAGTTGATCCACTTACCACCCTAACCCTTGATAGGCTTTCCCAAAGCACTTATGTGTAGCCTGGGATCATTTGTAGATTAATGTGGGAAGGTTTTCTCTAGCACCTTCCTTGTCATACAGTGAAATTAATTTATTATTCACCATTTCAATCCTTTAGAAAAACTAGAATTCATTGCAATGTTGTATTTATATACTTTCATGTATACACACAAACACATTCATTTTGATATATTTTACTTGTTTAACTAGCATTCACTCTGTTTCAGAAACTATCTAATTGCTTTGAGGAGTTAGCAAATATTTCTTCCACAGACGTGTATGACATTTTTAGTATAATGAGCAAATACTAGTATGCCTTCATTCATAGGCCTCATGCTATTAAAAGAGATTTGTAAAGAGGAGGAACAGGTGATGGCTTTTAGGATAATAATTAGTTAAATTGCACTGAAAGAGCAATTCCAAGTAATTTTTAAAAAGATTTTATTTATTTGACAGAGAAACAGCAAGAGAGGGAACATAGCACGGGGAGTGGGAGAGGGAGAAGCAGGCTTCCTGCTGAGCAAGGAACCTGATGCAGGGCTCTATCCCAGGACCCTGCAATCGTGATCTGAGCTGAAGGCATATGCTTAATGACTGAGCCACCCAGGCGCCCCTAAATGATTTTTTTACTAGTTTTTTTTTAAATATTTTATTTATTTATTTGACAGAGAGAGATTGCAAGTAGGCAGAGAGGCAGGCAGAGAGAGAGAGGAAGGGACGCAGGCTCCCCACTGAGCAGAGAGCCCAATGTGGGGCTCGATCCTAGGACCCTGAGATCATGACCCAAGCCGAAGGCAGAGGCCTAACCCACTGAGTCACCCAGGAGCCCTTTTTACTAGTTTTTAACATGAGAAAGTATGATGGAAGATACTTTGTGAAATAGCTTACTTACAGGTATAGTATTATTGCACACTCTGAAACAATGAATGTTGTCATTAATGATGACAGGGAAAATAAAGTCCGTATTGGTGGTGGCTTACCTTTGTAAAATCTCTTCAAATTGAAATGAAACCTTTGTGATCCAGAGAGATGAATATTTCACATGCAAATGAAGTTCATAATCTGATAACCTGTAATATTTTAAGTAGCCCTGTTTTAGAGCTTGGCTGATTGAAATTGTCTATTTTTCTTCTGCTCATTGCTGACTCATAACTAACTGTTCACACTATCTTGTATTTTCTTGTAGTATGAAAATAAAGGATGTGTGATTTAATCACATGATTGAATTGATTATACCTCTGGTTCATGCTGTTCAATTACATTATCAGTTCAGGAATTTTCAAATGATGCTATGTTGTCAATATCTATAGGTCCCCAAAAGAGAAGTTATTCTTTAAACACCTCAGTATCCTGAGTCAGAATTTGTTTTGTGTCTACACAAACCATGTTTTTCATTAGGTTGCTAAAATTGTGACATCTGTGCCAAAGGTTAATGATCATTTTTGTTTAAAAAAATAACCATTATAACTAAAGTATACATTACTTTAGTAATAGATGTCATGGATTGTGTCCAGAATTAAAGGTTGTATGGTCCCAATTTGGGAATGTTGATCTTGTCAGATAGTACTAGACATTATTCTCTTAATTTTTAACTATTTTTTTCCTAATAAATTTTATTGTCCAGATCACCTAAAGAGCAAATGAGCTTTAAGTTGGGGATATATAATCTCTACAGAAGATTAGAAATTTAAATTTTTATAAGCAAAAGTAGAGAAGATAAAAAATGTATGAAGAGTGACTCACTTCTGAAATAATACATTTAAATAATTTGTAAAAAATAATATTCCTTTGCCTTTGATCTCCAGAAAAAATAGAAAAGAAGAGAAGCTCATCCTTGACGAGAAGATCTAACAAATTGCAGGCACCTTCAGAAACTGTACAAGTAGAAGAAAAACCAACTGGTTAGTTATTTCTAAGTACCAGTCTTAAATAGTGGTTTAAAAGAGATCTTTTGTGGTACCTGTGTGGCTCAGTCAGTTGAGCACCGACTCCTGATTTTGGCTCAGGCCATGATCCTGAGTTGGGCTCCAAGCTAAACTTGGAACCTGCTCAAGATTGTCTCTCTCTGCACTTCCCTATCCCCGCACTTCTTGTCGTTCTCCCAAAAAAAGATCTGTGTCAGCATTTGGTTGCCTGAGAAGTCGTTCCTAAAATTTGAAGCCAGAATATCCTTTCTTTAACTGCAAAATGTCCTTTGATGTCATACTTATTTGGCTGAAGCCAAGAGTCTGTCTTCATTTTTTAAATTTTTTTTAAGATTTTATTTATTGATTTGACATACAGAGATAACAAGTGGGCAGAGAGGCAGGCAGAGAGAGAGGGGGAAGCAGGCTCCCCGCTGATCAGAAAGCCCGATGTGGGGCTCAATCCCAAGACCCTGAGATCATGACCTGAGCCGAAGGCAGAGGCCCTAACCCACTGAGCCACCCAGGCGCTCAGTACTTCTTTATTTAAAGTAGTTTCTTTCTAATACCCGCCCCCCAACTTTTCTCTGTCAAACATGACTGTTGCTTTTTGTTTTATACCAAACCACTTACAGAATACTCTCCAGTTTGTTGATTCAGGTCAAATCCTGTTATAACAAATGCCATTGTCACAGGGATCTTTAGGAACATAAAAACTTGGAGCAAGGTATTTACAAGATGCACTTTTTTAAAAAAAGATTTTATTTATTTATTTAACAGATAGATCACAAGTAGGCAGAGAGACAGACAGAGAGAGAGGAGGAAGCAGGCTCCCTGCTGAGCAGAGAGCCCGATGTGGGGCTCAATCCCAGGACTCTGGGATCATGACCTGAGCTGAAGGCAGAGGCTTTAACCCACTGAGCCACCCAGGCACGCCTACAAAATGCACTTTTAACAAAAGAATTCAGTCAGTCCCTTGGAGCTTTTGGTAGTGAACTTGACCACTGTGACTTTCAGTGGCATATATCTGTAGAAGTCCACCTCAAAGTTGTTTTGCCACATACAACTTCGTGAATTCCCATAGAGACGATACGTTGGGATAGGGCTTTGTTAGATACGTTACCTGGATTTCTTCACTGGGGTTATTGAGTATGCTGGGGACTTTGACCCTTAATTCAGGTGCTCTCTTCCCTAGCAAGGCAGTTGGATCCAGTGGTGATGTTCAGTCCCATTATTTATATATATACATATATACATATGTATGTGTATATATATATTGCTCTCATTTCCTCTACTTGTAGGCTGGGAAAGTTCTCATGTGCAGTTCATATGCCGTGCATTTATTTGTGAGACTTCAACTTGAATTCTTTTTGTTTGTTCTCCTTTAGCTCGTCAGTCATATACCAGTCTTCGGGAGAATAATTTAATCACTCGCCTGCTTGTCCCTACCAAAGCGTCAATAGCCAGGAGCAAAAGTGCTGCTTCCTTGTCAGTTCCTGGCAAAGATACTTCAGGTAACAGGCATAGGGCAGAAAGCCTGAAAGTGTTAGTATTTGCACTTAAAAAGCAGGTTATATCATTTAATTTGTTGCGGTAAGGCATAAAAATAATTCGAATCAGTAGTTTCCAGATGACTGATATTTACATTGCATATTTGTTTTATGCCTTCTAGCATGGTAGGTTGAGTTACGTGGATGATAGTTGATTGATAGGATGAAATAAGGTAGTTGTGGTGGTGGTTGTTAAATTTTTAAGTGATTTTTTTAAAAAAGTACTAGATGTTAAGAGTACCAAATTTTTTATAATAGCAAGGGGGAGGAAGTTTCCTACTCCACTCTTTTTCCCCCTAAAATGTGGAAGAATGACTTTGAGCTGCTCTTCAGCTTTTTATTAATAGTAAAATAAAACCCATTTTCAGGCTTACATGGATTTTCTCACTTAGAGGTCACATAGAGTGTTAGACATGCCTGTGGGTTGTAAGAAATCCTCAGTAGTGGAGAGCTCAAATGCACTATTCCCATTATTCTTTTTTCCTCCACTTTTTTCTTCCCACCACTTTTATTCTTTTATTTTTTTCTTCTGTTAATATTCATATAATTAGTAAAATAAATTACAGTGCTATTATCATAGACTTTCTGGCAGTGCAGCTTTACTTCTTTTGGTTCAGATTCCTGACTTTGTTTTTGCCCTATTATATGTATGTCAAATTATTTTCTGCCAGTCTTCCCCCAGTCTCCTGTAAGATAGTTCTTATATTAACTTTCATTCTTGTTAAATAATCTGTTACTTCCATCAAAAATATAATACTTATCTTAAATTTCTCTAGCTGTACTTAATATATTCTTTGTAGCACAAACTGTCAGTGTTAAATAATGTGACCATTTAGATACATACAGATCTGTAAATAAAATGCTTTTTCCACCAAAAGTGGGTGACTAAAAGAAAACATTTAAGTCAGATTGTTTATTCATGAGTAGTCAGTCTTTGGTAATTTGTTTTATTTTGACTACTTGATGAGATCATGTAAAAGTTTACCACCCAGTTAAAGAAGAGGTGACAAATTTACCGAGTCTTATAAAAGCTACCACCAAATACTTTCTAAAAAAATATTTACTTTTCTTTATTATACAAGCAATAAGTATTTAGTGTAGAACAAATTTTAAATATAATTTATTATCTCAGTAACTCACTGGGAACTGAATATTTTGTTTGTGTTTTCTTTACAAAATGGGATTGTAACTTGTTTTTATTTTTTTGATTTGTTTTTGTCTATACTCAACATGTACCATTTTCTTGGGGCACCTGGGTGGCTCAGTTGGTTAAGCATCTGACTTTGGCTCAAGTCATGATCTCTGGGTCCTGGTATCCAGCCCTGCATTGGGCTCCTCTCTCAGCAGGGAGTCTCCTTTGTCCCTGTCCCTCTCTACCCCTCCCCTTGTGTGCCTGTGTGTGGAGGCACTCTCTCAAATAAATAAAACTTTTTTTTTAAAGATTTTATTTATTTATTTGACAGAGAGAGATCACAAGTAGACAGAGAGGCAGGCAGAGAGAGGGAGGGAAGCAGACTCCCTGCTGAGCAGAGAGCCCGATGCGGGACTTGATCCCAGGACCCTGGGATCATGACCTGAGCCGAAGGCAGCGGCTTAACCCACTGAGCCACCCAGGCGCCCTAAATAAAACTTTTTTAAAGATTTATTTATTTGACAGAGTGCCTCCACACACAGGCACACAAGGGGAGGGGCAGAGAGAGAGAGATGGGGAAGCAGGCTTCCTGCTGAGCAGAGAGCCTGATTTGGGGCTGGATCCCAGGACCCTGAGATCATGACCTGAGCCAAAGACAGAGGCTTAACCCACTGAGCCACCCAGGCGCCCTAAATAAAATCTTTTCTAAAAAAGTATATATATATTTATCATTTTCTAGGTCTGGAAATTGTATATTATTACTGTGAATGACTGCTTTAGTATTTTTTTTCTTTTCTTTTCTTTTTTAAAGATTCATTTATTTGACAGAGATCACTAGTAGGCAGAGAGGCAGGCAGAGAAAGAGGGGGAAGCAGGCTCCCTGCCGAGCAGAAAGCCCGATGTGGGGCTTGATCCCAGGACCCCGAGATCATGACCTGAGCCAAAGGCAGAGGCTTTAACCCACTGAGCCACCCAGGCACCCCTGCCTTAGTATTTTCTAAATTTCTTTTTTTTTAAAAGATTTTATTTATTTATTTGAGAGACAGAGATTACAAGTAGGCGGGGAGGCAGGCAGAGAGAGGAGGAAGCAGGCTCCCTGTGGAGCAGAGAGCCTGATGTGGGGCTCGATCCCAGGACCGTGGGGCTCTATCCCAGGATCCTGGGATCATGACCTGAGCCAAAGGCAGAAGCTTTAAACCACTGAGCCACCCAGGCGCCCAGTATTTTCTAAATTTCTTGTCGAATATTTGGATTATAGTTTTGTTTCAGTATTATCAATAATGCTATAAGTAACCTTATTACATATGTTTTCATGTCTGATTTTTTTTTCCTTAGATCTCGAAGTAAAATTGTGGGAACAAAGAGTGTGTCCTTTTAATGGCTTTTAATGTCTTATTGCCCCAATCCCCCCTGTCAGGAGCATATACAGATCTATACCCCACCAGTAGTGTGGGGCTGCCTGGTTCCCAACATTGGCATTACCATTTTCTTCCTCCTTTGCTGGTACCAAATATTACCATTTTTATCCATTTATTAGGCAAAAATTATTTATTTTAAAGATTTTTATTTATTTGACAGGGAGAGAGCGAGAGAGGGAGTATAAGCGGGGGGGAGTGGGGGAGGGAGAAGCAGGCCTCCTGCTGAGCAGGGAGCCCGAAGCAGGGCTCGATACCAGGACCCCGGGATCACCACCTGAGCCAAAGGCAGGTATTTAATGACCGAGCCACCCAGGAGCCCTGGCAAAAAATTTAGATTGTTAAAGCTGGAAGAGACCTTGAAAATCTAGCCCATTCTGATTAATGTTTTATTATAGTTTTTAGAATTGGTGAGAAATGCTCTTTTCTTACATTTAAATCACCATATTTGGATTTTCTTACCTGATCACTTGAAATGGTAAGATCTCTGGTCCTAGTGAAGTTGTTCTAGATTACTTTTTCAAAGCGTTGAATATCTTATAATGTGTTATAAAAATTGTGATATTAAAAGAGAAATGACTTACTGCAAACATCAACTTTGAAGGAGCATCCTCTTTTCGCCTGTAGTGGACTTTTGCTTTCACTACACGTCTTAATGGTGGCGCTTCTGAAGTAACCAACTTCGAGATGTTTCTGTCCGGTGTGTGGGTTCCATTTCACTAGACACTTCCATGTTGTGGGGTAATCCCTGCAATTTACTAACGAACACATAGTCTCTCTTTTCTCTTCCTGTTCTTGTACTGTTAAGTGGCGCGTTTCTGTCTTGTCTGGTTGCTGTGTATGGGCAGTCTCATCCTGTCCTCGTTCACCCACAGGTACCCACAATGCCTTAATCCAGTATGTAAACATGCCCTTGCGGAGCCACAGCAGTGATGAACTGAAGAATACCATGGCGCTTCGCAAGGCAGCAGCGGCAGGGCCTCCCCAGGAGAAGGTGGAAGCACCCCCTGATGTAAGCGTGGAGGCGGCCCCTCACGTGAAGGTGGAAGCAACCCCCGAGGCGACCGTGGAAGCGGCCCCCGAGGCGACCTTGGAAGCG